CAATACTCGTATTTACAATATTTTCAAGGTCTGGCTCTGGCAATAGTCGTATTTACAATATTTCCAAGGTCTGGCTCTGGCAATACTCGTATTTACAATATTTCCAAGGTCTGACTCTGGCAATACTCGTATTTACAATATTTCCAAGGTCTGGCTCTGGCAATACTCGTATTTACAATATTTCCAAGGTCTGACTCTGGCAATACTCGTATTTACAAATTTCCAAGGTCTGGCTCTGGCAATATTCGTATTTACAATATTTCCAAGGTCTGGCTCTGGCAATAATCGTATTTACAATATTTCCAAGGTCTGGCTCTGGTAATACTCGTATTTACAATATTTCCAAGGTCTGGCTCTGGCAATACTCGAATTTACAATATTGCCAAGGTCTGGCTCTGGCAATACTCGTATTTACAATATTTCCAAGGTCTGGCTCTGGCAATACTCGTATTTTACAATATTTTCAAGGTCTGGCTCTGGCAATAGTCGTATTTACAATATTTCCAAGGTCTGGCTCTGGCAATACTCGTATTTACAATATTTTCAAGGTCTGGCTCTGGCAATAGTCGTATTTACAATATTTCCAAGGTCTGGCTCTGGCAATACTCGTATTTACAATATTTCCAAGGTCTGACTCTGGCAATACTCGTATTTACAATATTTCCAAGGTCTGGCTCTGGCAATACTCGTATTTACAATATTTCCAAGGTCTGGCTCTGGCAATACTCGTATTTACAATATTTCCAAGGTCTGGCTCTGGCAATACTCGTATTTACAATATTTCCAAGGTCTGACTCTGGCAATACTCGTATTTACAATATTTCCAAGGTCTGGCTCTGGCAATATTCGTATTTACAATATTTCCAAGGTCTGGCTCTGGAAATAATCGTATTTACAATATTTCCAAGGTCTGGCTCTGGTAATACTCGTATTTACAATATTTCCAAGGTCTGGCTCTGGCAATACTCGAATTTACAATATTGCCAAGGTCTGGCTCTGGCAATACTCGTATTTACAATATTTCCAAGGTCTGGCTCTTTCAATACTCGTATTTACAATATTTTCAAGGTCTGGCTCTGGCAATAGTCGTATTTACAATATTTCCAAGGTCTGGCTCTGGCAATACTCGTATTTACAATATTTTCAAGGTCTGGCTCTGGCAATAGTCGTATTTACAATATTTCCAAGGTCTGGCTCTGGCAATACTCGTATTTACAATATTTCCAAGGTCTGACTCTGGCAATACTCGTATTTACAATATTTCCAAGGTCTGGCTCTGGCAATACTCGTATTTACAATATTTCCAAGGTCTGGCTCTGGCAATACTCGTATTTACAATATTTCCAAGGTCTGACTCTGGCAATACTCGATTTTACAATATTTCCAAGGTCTGACTCTGGCAATACTCGTATTTACAATATTTCCAAGGTCTGGCTCTGGCAATACTCGTATTTACAATATTTCCAAGGTCTGACTCTGGCAATACTCGTATTTACAATATTTTCAAGGTCTGGCTCTGGCAATAGTCGTATTTACAATATTTCCAAGGTCTGGCTCTGTCAATACTCGTATTTACAATATTTCCAAGGTCTGGCTCTGTCAATACTCGTATTTACAATATTTCCAAGGTCTGGCTCTGTCAATACTCGTATTTACAATATTTCCAAGGTCTGGCTCTGTCAATACTCGTATTTACAATATTTCCAAGGTCTGGCTCTGGCAATACTCGTATTTACAATAACGTATAGTGACCCTGAAGAACAAACCGGTCAATTAAACCTCATTATATTACCTGGTTTATACCAGTGGAACAACAGAAGTGTTCCTCAGTGTGATGTTCCTTGTCTGTGGAACACTGCACACTTGTTACCCAGTTATGTAAGCTTCCTAGTCGCTAGTTCCTCAGTGATCTTAACTTCCTAGTTATTGCAGTTTCACTCAGTGATCTTAACTTCCTAGTTATTGCAGTTTCACTCAGTGATCTTAACTTCCTAGTTATTGCAGTTTCACTCTGGTACAGTAGTTGTTAATGCTCCTGAGTAGCCTCCTAGTTTTTAGTACCTAATAGTCTAGTCAGGACTAGACTAGACGAGGTGGCCATGTCTCGCGATTGGAGAAAAAATTCTTGGAATTAATAACCACGGAAAGTTATTACGGAGGATTAACCTGGATTAATAACCCCCTTGGGTTATTAATCCAGGATAATCCAATAAGGTTAATCCTTGTGGTATTTCTGTTGAGATTATTCCATTATCTACCTTAGAATGTGGCTTAGAACAGATCTGTTAATGTTATGTGAACATTGGCTAGTTTATTGTTCACACCATATCCATCCTGTGGATGGTAGTTCAAGAATATATGCATAAATGAAAGCCAATAGGATTCAGACAGACCACGGAACGGTTGGGATTCGAACCCACAGCGAGTGAAATTTCCAGGCCAGTACGAAAGAGTTGCAGAAGTACATCTAGCAATGCTTCTCCGGAGATGATTGAAACTCTCTACTTCGATCCAAGGAACTGGAGCTACTCTCATCTTCCTTCGATCAAACTTGATAATATCCTATATCAACGCCCTCCCCCCATCTACTCTCAAGTGCTGTATGACCCCTACGCGTTTAGCGATTACCCATTAATGTGATTGAGAACCTAATCGGATTCCAGACACACATCTTACGACCGTCTGGACAAGAACTGCAGCCATTAAATCTTTCGTAAATTATATTTCTCAACACTATAATATCCTCTCTCTCTCTCTCTCTCTCTCTCTCTCTCTCTCTCTCTCTCTCTCTCTCTCTCTCTCTCTCTCTCTCTCTCTCTCTCTCTCTCTCTCTCTCTCTCTCTCTCTCTCTCTCTCTTCCTATAATTATGAGCAGTATAATTTTATTCCCTTGTAAATTCACATTAATAATAAAATTTGACTCAAAGACTACGACTTTATTCTCTTCTGTCTTTTAGTTCATATATCATTGAACCCCTGTAGTGTAAAGTTATGAACTCTTCAGTAAAGAGGTTTAAGATGTCTTCATTATAGAGACTGGAGATCCCTTTAGTACAGAGGTTAAGACCATAAGCATAGAGGTTAGGGCCCTACAGTACATATTAAGACCCCCCTCAGTATAGAGGGTGGAAACTACCTCTGTACAAAAGTTAGGACTAGAGATGTATCGGAAGTGAAACTTTAGATATCCTCGGATGCGGAATGTGTATGAGGATGTCTTACTCATTTTGCGGATGCGGGCGCGGATGCGAATGTTAGAAATTGCGCGGATGTTCCACGGATGCGGATGCGGATGCGGATATCCGATACATCACTAGTTAGGACCCCATCAGTGTAGAAGTTACTAACCAAGACACATATTATGTTTTCTAAAAAACGAATTTGAGATATATATATATATATATATATATATATATATATATATATATATATATATATATATATATATATATATATATATATATATATATATATACAGAGATTCTAGAGAGCTAGGAAGATTCTGCAGGAAGTCGGTGTATCCCCGAGGTCAAGTCAGTCACCTGGATCTTTAAGGTTACACCAGATCTTCTAGTCTTTGAAGTATTAGCACTGTGCCTTGACTTAGCCGCTGGTTGATACAGGCTTAATAACTACCCATCTTCCTTATTATTTGTGTATGTATGGTCTATGTACATACATTATTTAAAACTCTTTCGAGCCGTGCATGCCCCACTACCAGTATTTTCACTAAAATTGTTTTGCTAAACACGAATTAATGAGCACCTTAACCCTTCATTCACACACACCACACACACACACACACACACACACACACACACACACACACACACACACACACACACATATAAATTATATATTAATATATATAATTATATATATATATAAAATTACACATACACACACACACACACACATAACCCTTCATACTCTCATCTAAACGATCCTTACACACATATACATACACTCCTACACACACCCATTCATACTCTCATACACCCATACTTACTCACTTTCACCTACTTTCACACCCATTCGTACCTCTTCACATTTCCATAGCCACTCACGATCACCCCTACTTCTATACATACCCACACCATCCCTGCGCATTAATAGCCTCAACTAGATTAACTAGCTAATAGATTAAACTCTTGGATAGCGTAGTATAGATGTATGTAACGTCACTGTGTATGTTCTGGTGTAGAAAGTTGAGTGTGTTGTTTTGGTCTCTCTTTAGCGTTTATATGTGTCTGTTGTCATCTGGTGTATTGGCTTGAGTACCAGTGGATTTTCTGTTGAATTTCTAATGAGATGTGGATGATATATTGTGTCTAGTTTTCTTCATTATTCATCGTTATCCTCTTCATCAGAATCGTTAACAACCATCCCCCCTACCACCACCACTGAGACTCCCTTAGACACACCCACTGATACCAGTGTTACCACTAGTACATCCTGCCACCTCTGAAACACCACTGTAACAAGCCCACAGCTAACATTATCACCACCACCTCCTCTACCAGCACCACCCCAACCCACCTACCACCATTACCTCAAAACTATAACCACCACCACCACTACTACTTCTACTACTACTACTACTACTACTACTACTACTACTACTACTACTACTACTACTAGCTGCTACTACCATCGCACCGCCAGCTGCAACGTCCAGGTATGTAACGTCACTCCAAATATTACATTTGCAGCTCTCCCCTGCTTTCTTTCTCCCCAGAATGTAAACTCTTAAGTTCTATCACGAAGAGCTTTTAAAGAGCTAGCTTCTTTCGACAGCTTCACTCTCAGTACTAGCTCTCATTAACTTCTCTATCCCATCAATTCTCATCCAAACTACAGCAACAACGTCATCAACTTGCATCAACTATTCCACGGCATCAACACTTCCATCATCATAGGTGTATCCCTCTCCCTCTTAACACCCCACCACCACCGCCACCACCACCAACTCTCCCTCACCCTCCTCCCACCTTCAACAGCTTCCGGTTAAGCTTCAAGAGAAAGCCTACGGAGCCCAAGAGAGAGCGCGTCGAACATAGGGATTCTCTGAGCAACGCTATACCAGCCAAGATTATCCGGGCCACCTCAGTCAAACCACACACACTCAGTCCCAGGTGGAATGAGAAGTTCAGACTGTGAGTACCTTATTCTGCCTTTATTAACCATACTACACTCAGGCTTTATTGACCACCCTACACTCAGGCTTTATTGACCACCCTACACTCAGGCTTTATTGACAACCCTACACTCAGGCTTTATTGACCACCCTACACTCAGGCTTTATTGACCATCCTACACTCAGGCTTTATTGACCACCCTATACTCAGGCTTTATTGACCACCCTACACTCAGGCTTTATTGACCATCCTACACTCAGGCTTTATTGACCACCCTACACTCAGGCTTTATTGAGCACCCTACACTCAGGTTTTGTTGACCACCCTACACTCAGGCTTTATTGACCACCCTACACTCAGGCTTTATTGAGCACCCTACACTCAGGCTTTTTGACCACCCTACACTCAGGCTTTATTGACCACCCTACACTCAGGCTTTATTGACCACCCTACCTCAGGCTTTATTGACCACCCTACACTCAGGCTTTATTGACCACCCTACACTCAGGCTTTATTGACCACCCTACACTCAGGCTTTATTGACCACCCTACACTCAGGCTTTATTGATCACCCTACACTCAGGCTTTATTGACCACCCTACACTCAGGCTTTATTGACCACCCTACACTCAGGCTTTATTGACCACCCTACACTCAGGCTTTATTGACCACCCTACACTCAGGCTTTATTGACCACCCTACACTCAGGCTTTATTGACCACCCTATTCTGCCCCATTGAGTTTCCTACACTCAGTTTTTAGTGACTATCCAATGCTGTTGGTGCTAGCGGCCTGCAGGCTGTGAGTGTACAAAGACACAGACAGACGAACATGCGAATGCAGAGTTTTACAGACAGATAAGTCGATAGACAATAGACACGAGGGTATGTAGTTTGATAGATTAATATTAAAGTATGGTAGCACCATTGGCTCATACCTGAGGTGTAGGGTAATTTGCCCACGAGTACCCTGCCATCACCTAGCGTGTAACTGACCTTAGGTAGGAGGACAGCTCCTAGCATGTAACTGACCTTAGCCAGGATGACAGCTCCTAGCATGTAATTGACCTTAGGCAGGATGACAGCTCCTAGCATGTAAAGTCTAGGATTTAAATCAAGCAAGTTTAAGTATAAACAGGAGATATACGTACAACTAGACAGATTAATACCGAGGTAAAGACATAGGCTTAGGAACTGTTTATATTATATATATATATTATATATATATATATATTTTATATATATATATATATATATAATATATATATATATATATATATATATATATATATATATATATTATATATATATATATATATATATATATTATAAAAATATATACTGTGCGTCAGATATTAATTTCCTTTTATCTTCTCTTCTCCTCAGAGACATCGATGACATCAACTACGACATCCTTCACTTGGATATATGGTGAGTACATCCATGGTCTTGATACCGGAGTACACTGGAAAGACAGACAGCCGAGGTGGACATAAGAGTCCACACGGAAGCTGTCGCCTGTGAAGATCTATCTACCAGAGTCTAGATTGAAGATTCTCGTATATTATCCAGGTGTTTGGGACAAGGATAGTATAGGAGACTGACTGTTATTTCCTGTAATCAGTAATGAAGTTAGATTTATGTACTTTTTTCCCACAAATTGATTGGGTATATTTACCTAAAATGAACTTTCGAGTTGACTGTAAGAATTCTTTGCAACTGTTATGTTATATTCTAGCTTGGCTGTTGGATACAGCAGCCTCAGTAATGAGACAAACACAGTTGCAAAGAAAGCCTTTATTGCGACGACGTTTCACTGTGTGTAGAGCGAAACGTAGTCACAATTAAGGTATATACAGAGCTAAACATTATTCCAATGGTGCTCTCTTCATTACTGTGTGATCTCGTGGCCAGGACCGCAATTTTATCTATACTGACTAGATATAATAATGATACACAATCCCGACAGGTTGACAAGTAAGCCACATGTGTAACAGTTAGATAACTTTAATCTGGAATAAAGTTAAATAACTTTGGCTTATGTGTCTGGCTTATCATATCTGCCGACCGTTCGGTATCCTTGGAGGGATCGGATTCCCCATATATTTCCTCACTGTTCGATGTCTTGGGGTCTCCCGACAGGGATCACGATGATGAGTCCAGCGTATTCGAAGTGGTCAGTAAACTGAACGAGGTGAAGGGAGTGAAAGGGCTGGGTCGTTTCTTCAAACAAATCGCGCAGTCTGCCAGAGCGGGAGGTGGACAGGATGACTTCCTGGGATGTGTGAATATACCGCTGCAGGTATGTGGCGGTGGATGGGTGGGTGTGGGTAGGTGGTTGTGTGTGTACTCACCTGTTTGTAGTTGCAGGAGTCGATTCATAGCTCCTGGCCCCGCCTCTTTACTGATGGCTACTAGGTCCTCTCCCTTCTCCATGAGCTTTATCAAACCTCGTCTTAAAACTATGTGTATATGATTCTCTCTCTCTCTCTCTCTCTCTCTCTCTCTCTCTCTCTCTCTCTCTCTCTCTCTCCTCTCTCTCTCTCTCTCTCTCTCTCTCTCTCTCTTCTCTCTCTCTCTACTCTCTCTATCTATCTATCTATCTATCTCTCTCTCTCGCTCTCCCCACCATTATTTCTTCCTGTCAATTGCCCTGTTATTTCCCACCATACTTTCATTTTTCTCTACCGTCCTCCCTCATTTTCCTATCACCCTCTTACCATTTTACATTCTCCCTCATTCACTCTTAACATTCTCCCTCATTCATTCTTAACATTCTCCCTCATTCATTCTTATCATTCTCCCTCATTCACTCTTAACATTCTCCCTCATTCACTCTTAACATTCTCCCTCATTCTACCAACACACTCTACCACTCTCCCCACACTCACTCTCCCCACCCACACTCTCCCCACCCACACTTTCCCCACCCACACTCTCCCCACCCACACTCTCCCCACCCACACTCTCCCCACCCTCGACAGCTGTTACTGATTGTCTTCCTGTCATATCTAAACTCTATTCAAAACATGTCAGAACTTTACAACGAGCGAGTACAACACAGAGTTCCACCTTTGTTGTCCTCTGTACATGTACTCAACTAGGTGTACTCTCCTACATGTGATGGAAGGGTTGAATACCATCTCCTGGATCTGCGTCCCATCATTTCCTCGACTACTGTCGAACATAGTTGATTTTCTGATAGGTGAGAAAATTATTAATTTAAACATGTTAAAATTAACATGCTAGATTTAACATGATAGATTTAACATGCTACATATAACATGCTAGATTTAACATGCTAAATTTAACATGCTAGATTTAACATGCTAGATTTAGCATGTTAGATTTAACATGCTAAATTTAACATGCTAGACTGAACATGCTAGATTTAACATGCTAGATTTAACCTGTTAGATTTAACATGCTTAATTTAACATGGTAGAATAAACATGCTAGATTTAACCTGTTAGATTTAACATGCTTAATTTAACATGATAGAATAAACATGCTAGATTTAACTTGTTAGATTTAACATGCTAGATTTAACATGCTAGGTTTAACATGCTAGATTTAACATGCGAAATTTAGCATGCTAGATTTAACATGTTAAATTTAGCATGTTAGATTTCACGTATCGTTACAGAGCAGGGCACTAATGTACTGTGGCACTGACTGGGGCACTGGTAGGCATGGCACTAATGAGTTGTGGCATCTCAGGACATGCCCAGCACGGGAGTGGATAGATGGTACCCGCTGGAGGGTCGATCACACCGCTCCAACATCCAGGGTCAGATCAACCTGAAGATGTGGCTGTCGACCCGTGAGGATAGGTGAGTGGGGAGTCCTGGAGTCCTGGATGGGTGAGTGGGAGTCATGGATGGGTGAGTGGGAGTACTGGATGGGTGAATGGGAGCCCTGGTTAGGTGAGTGGAAATCTTGGATGGGTGAGTGGGAATACTGGATGGGTGAGTGGGAGGCCTGGATGGGTGAGTAGGAGTCCTGGATGGGTGAGTGGGAGTACTGGATGGGTGAGTAGAAGTCCTGGCTGGGTGAGTGGGAGTCTTGGATGGGTGAGTGGGAGTATTGGATAGGTGGGTGGGAGTCCTGGATGAGTGAGTGGGAGTCCTGGATGGGTGAGTGGGAGTCCTGGATGGGCGAGTGGGAGTCATGGATGGGTGAGTGGGAGTACTGGATGGGTGAATGGGAGCCCTTGTTAGGTGAGTGGAAGTCTTGGATGGGTGAGTGGGAATACTGGATGGGTGAGTGGGAGGCCTGGATGGGTGAGTAGGAGTCCTGGATGGGTGAGTGAGAGTCTTGGATGGGTGTGTGGGAGTACTGGATGGGTGGGTGGGAGTCCTGGATGAGTGAGTGGGAATCCTGTATTGTTGAGTGGGAGTCCTGAATGGGTGAGTGGGAGTCCTGGATGGGTGAGTGGGAATCCTGTATTGTTGAGTGGGAGTCCTGAATGGGTGAGTGGGAGTCAAGGACAGGTGAGTAGGAATCCAGGACAGGTAATTACAGAGCCAGGACAAGTAATTACAGAGCCAGGACAGGTAATTATAGAGCCAGGATAGGTGATTTAGGATTATTAAAACGTAATTATAAATTATTATGTATAATTTAACTAATTATCTAATGTAATATATTAGTAGATGCTACTGACTGATTATATATAGATCTCTCTCTCTCTCCTCCTCTCTCTCTCTTCATCTCTCTCTCTCTCTCTCTCTCTCTCTCTCTCTCTCTCTCTCTCTCTCTCTCTCTCTCTCTCTCTATCTATCTATCTATCTCTCTCTGGTATTCTTCCTAACTCCCTTTCGATTTCTTATGCTCTATTCTGCACTCTCCTTAGCCCACCCTCACTCTCCTTCCTTCACCCTCCCTGACCTTCAATACTCTCCCTCTCTTATTTTCCCTCTTCTTCTTTCACTCTCCCTGACCTTCTCTCACTCTCCCTGGCCTTCTCTCACTCTCCCTGGCCGTCCCTCACTCTCCCTGGCCATCCCTCACTCTCCCTGGCCATCCCTCACTCTCCCTGGCCGTCTCTCACTCTCCCTGGCCATCCCTCACTCTCCCTGGCCGTCTCTCACTCTCCCTGGCCGTCCCTCACTCTCCCTGGCCGTCCCTCACTCTCCCTACATCTTTCCTCAGGGGGACGTCTGAGGACGAGGTATGGGCCGAGGTTCGTCAACACGACCAGATCATTACCACCTTCCTCCTGCACGAGCTTACCAAGTTTAAGGTGGGTCACCTGGTTCACTTGGGTCACCTGGGTCACCTGGGTCACCTGGTTCACTTGGGTCACCTGTGTTAAGTGGATCATCAGCTTCACCTTGAGAAGCTTCCATCAACTCACCTTTCTCCATAATCTTACCTGAGTCAATTTTCACAAAAAATAGTTTTGATTTTAATATAAATATTGGTTTAGGATTATAAATTAGATTCATTTATAATTAATAAAATTTGGGAAGAATTAAAGCTATGTTGGATAAGTCCTTGACCAACTCACCCGCATCATCATTAAGGAACGGGTGAGGTGTCGGATGTTGACTGTGAGGTGTTATCTCGACCTTTTAACACTTTTCGTTCTATTATTTCTACAGTTCCCCGATAATGTGAAAAACCACGAAAGCGGCTAGAAGGTCACTATTTTTTCACAGTGGTTGCTTTGCATATCGCAAAATCACTTGTTTACTGTGATTTTACTACACGATCTTACCTATACCGCCACTTACCACTGTATGTGTCTGTGGGGAGGGAGACAGACCATCCTGAGAGATGGTAATTCCTAAATGATAGTAACTGCAGCTCTGCTGGTAGGAAACCTCTCAAGCTGTCGTAGCTGATGAACCTTTAATGAAATATTAATCATGTTCCTACAATTTATCATTTAGAATAGTGTAGCAGCACACTGCTGGTGTTCCCACAATGTAACTATCATATAGAATAATGTAGCAGCACACTGCTGGTGTTCCCACAATGTAACTATCATATAGAATAATGTAGCAGCACACTGCTGGTGTTCCCACAATGTAACTATCATATAGAATAGTGTAGCAACACACTGCTGGTGTTCCCACAATGTAACTATCATATAGAATAGTGTAGCAACACACTCTGGTGTTCCCACAATGTAACTATCATATAGAATAGTGTAGCAACACACTGCTGGTGTTCCCACAATGTAACTATCATATAGAATAGTGTAGCAACACACTGCTGGTGGTCCCACAATGTAACTATCATATAGAATAGTGTAGCAACAAACTGCTGATGTTCCCACAATGTAACTATCATATTAATAGTGTAGCAACACACTGCTGATGTTCCCACAATGTAACTATCATATTAATAGTGTAGCAACACACTGCTGGTGTTCCCACAATGTAACTATCATATAGAATAGTGTAGCAACACACTGCTGGTGTTCCCACAATGAAACTATCGTATAGAATAGTGTAGCAACACACTGCTTATGTTCCCACAATGTAACTATCATATAGAATAGTGTAGCAACACACTGCTGGTGTTCCCACAATGTAACTATCATATAGAATAGTGTAGCAACACACTGCTGGTGTTCCCACAATGTAACTATCATATAGAATAGTGTAGCAACACACTGCTGGTGTTCCCACAATGTAACTATCATATAGAATAGTGTAGCAACACACTGCTGGTGTTCCCACAATGTAACTATCATATAGAATAGTGTAGCAACACACTGCTGGTGTTCCCACAATGTAACTATCATATAGAATAGTGTAGCAACACACTGCTGGTGTTCCCACAATGTAACTATCATATATAAGTGTAGCAACACACTGCTGGTGTTCCCACAATGTAACTATCATATAGAATAGTGTAGCAACACACTGCTGGTGTTCCCACAATGTAACTATCATATAGAATAGTGTAGCAACACACTGCTGGTGTTCCCACAATGTAACTATCATATAGAATAGTGTAGCAACACACTGCTGGTGTTCCCACAATGTAACTATCATATATAACAGTGTAGCAACACACTGCTGGTGTTCCCACAATGTAACTATCATACAGAATAGTGTAGCAATACACTGCTGGTGTTCCCACAGTGTAACTATTATATAGAATAGTGTAGCAACACACTGCTGGTGTTCCCACAATGTAACTATCATATAGAATAGTGTAGCAACACACTGTTGGTGTTCCCACAATGTAACTATCATATAGAATAGTGTAGCAACACACTGCTGATGTTCCCACAATGTAACTATCATATAGAATAGTGTAGCAACACACTGTTGGTGTTCCCACAATGTAACTATCATATAGAATAGTGTAGCAACACACTGCTGGTGTTCCCACAATGTAACTA